GGTATGACATTTCTCTCAGGGGTAACAAAAATGCATTAAAATTAAAGTGTGAGGATAGTTACATAATTTCATGAATAAACTAAAAAAAACCCCACCAAAACCCACTGGGCTTTACATGGATAAACTGTATGACATGCAAATCCTATTTTAACAAAGCTGTTAAAAAAATTCTAGACATACTCTTAATCCTATTTTTAATTAGCTATGGATAGTTCTAACAAATCATTAATTTCCCCTCTACTGTTTACATTTATTTCCCTACCTCATTTTGGACAATGTTCTGATAATAAGTAATAGTTGAAAGACCTTGGTAGACCTTCAAAGGAAATTTTCTTGTTTCTATATTTATCTTGATGAATGTTGGATTCCTAGAAAGTGCTTTCTAAGGGGAAAAAAGGCAATACAAATAAATATCAATGATTTAGTGAATGGAGTACCTTCCTTCATAACATTAAGTTGAGTTTCTGTGAGAGATCTGGAGTGATCTTAGTGGGTTATGGTAGTCTAGTATACAATAAAGGGGAGAAATGAGTCCTACTTCATACATATTAATAAGCCACCTACACATCAAACACATTAAGGGAAGCAAGCTGATAAAGAGAACATATTAAATTTATAAATGACAACTTGCCCTTATATTCTAGGCAGTAACAATTTCAGGAGACTCATGATTTTAGTCTTGGTGAGCTTACAGAGGGTAAATAAGTACATGTTCTATTTGTATCTGCAATTCTGGAACAAAAATAACAGATTCTAATGTCACTAAAGGTAAATCTAACAAGAAAATGAACCAGAGTTCAGATGGCTAAAATTATTCTCCTTTTCTGACTGGCAAATTCCTCTCTGCATCACTTGTAGAAAATGGTTTAGATATGTGGGAAAGACCACTTATTTTATATGTGATTACAAAAATTATAAAGCTTTTAGGTAGCTTCCAATTCAATCAAGCAAATTTACTTCTAAAATGTATTTTCCTTCAAAATATCTGCATTCTTCAGAAGCAAGTGGCAAGCCTGAACTTATCAATATCAACAACAATGAATTACACTCAAATGGCACCTAGGACGCATAAGACTCATTTATACATAAGACTAGTTTATGTAAGAATGTTATCTCAGATTTAGTCCAACCTACTGGGTAATTATTTCAATTAGACTTATGAGCTGTAATCTTCCCAGAAAAATAACAATTTAAAGGTTGGAGCATATTCTGTATGATATGTAACACCAGTCTCTATGACCTGACAACAATTTTTTTTCTGATTTATTAGGAAGTGTCCAATCACCTCATTCTCACAGTACTGTAAAGTGATCATAATGGCTGAAACCATTACTATGTTGTCATGTCAAATGCTCTCAAGTTGGCTCTGACTCGTACCAACTGATATACACAGATCAAACCCTTCATTTCTGCTGTACTAACATCCAACGCCGTAGTCACTGTGCCCTAATCAGTCTCATTCAGGGTTTTCCTCTTTTTCTCAGGCCCTCTACTTTTCCAAGAAAGATGTCTTGTCCAGGGACTGGCCCTCTTGATAACATGCCCCAAAATGAAGTTTCATCATCCTTGCTTCTAAGGAGTCTATTGGCTGCATGTCTAAGACAGATTTGTTTGTTCTTTTGGCAGTCCATGATCTATTCAATATTCCTCACCAATCCAATTCATAGGCATCAGTCTTCCTTTTGTTTTCCTTAGTCACTGCCCAACTTTCACATGCAACCGAAAATATCATAGCGCAGGCCAGGTGCAATTTAGTCTTCACAATATCATCTTTGCTCTTTAGTATTTTAAAACGGTCTGTGGCAGCTGATTTGTCCACTGTCTTTGGATTTCTTGACTGTTGCTATAAAAGGGTGTTTACTGTGGATCCAAGTAAAATAAGATTATTGACAACACTACTCTTTTCTCCACTTATCATAATGTTGTTTACTGGTCTAGTTTGAGAATTTTTGTTGAGTTTAATCTATACAGTAAACTAAAGTCTTTGAGCTTAAATAGCTGAAACTACAGTGCTGTCAAATTCATAGCAGGAATGAAAATTATCAAGAAATCAAGCTGCTGAGACGAATTTAGAAACAAGTAAAAGTCCATCTTGAGAGTCATATCAAGAAAAAGGCATCCAGGCTCTATACTACTCAGCAACCCCATACTGCATTCTCTTCTGCAGCCTCAGCCACATCCTTGAGACACAATGGTAAAGGTCACAGTAAACCTCTGGCTGCATTGGATGCCTGGTCACCAGTGCTGCTTTTAACTCTGGCAAAGTGGATGTTGTTGCCATCAATGACCCCATCACTGACTTCAACTACATGAGCTATATGTTCCATTATGATTTCACTCATGGAAAGTTCAATGGCACTGTCAAAGCTGAGAATGGAAAGCTGGTCATCAATGGGAAAGCCATCACTATCTTCCAGGAGCGAGATCCTGCCAACATCAAGTGGGGTGATGCTGGTGCTGAGTATGGTGAGGAGTTCACTGGTGTCCTCACAACCTTGAGGAAGGATGGGACTCACTTGAAGGGTGGTACCAAACAGGTAATAATCTCGGCTCCTTCTGCTAATGCCCCCATGTTTGTGATGGGCATAAACCATGAAAAGTATGACAACTCTCTCAAGATTGTCAGCAATGCCTCCTGAACCACTAACTGCTTGGGTTCCCTAGCCAAGGTCATCCAACACCTTTGGCATCACAGAGGGACTCATGATCACAGTTCATGCCAACACTGCCACCCAGAAGACTGTGGATGGCCCCGCTGGAAAGCTGTGGTGTGATGGCCGTGGAGCTGCCCGGGACATCATCACTGCAATTACTGGTGCTGCCAAGGCCATGGGTAAGGTCATCCCTGAACTAAAGGGGAAACTTATTGGCATGATTTTCTGTGTCCCCCACCCCCAATATGTCGGTTGTAGACCTGACCTACCATCTGGAGAAAGCTGTCAAATATGATGACATCAAGAAAGTAGTAAAGCAGGCATCAGAAGGGCTCCTAAAGGGCAGACGCGGATACACTGAAGACCAGGTTGCTTCCTAAAACTTTAAAAGTGACACACACTCTTCCACCTTTGAGGCTGTGGCTAGCATTGCCCTGAATGACCACTCTGTCAAACTCATTTACTGGTATGACAATGAATTTGAAGGTGCACTTGATTCAGGTCATGATCATTTGCTATGCATCTGACAACTGGACAATGAATAAGGGTGACAGAAGAACTGATGCCTTTGAGCTGTGGTGTTAGAGAAGAATGCTTAATATCCCATGGGCTGCCAAAAGAACAATCAGATATAGCTTCAAGAAAGTATAGCTAGAATGCTTTTCTAAGGAAAGGATAATAAAGTTTTATCTCACATACTTTGGTCATGTTGCTAGGAAATGCCATTCCTTGGAGAAGGACTTCATGCTTGGAAAGGTGGAGAGTCAACAAAAGAGGAAGGTCCTCAGCAAAGTGGACTAACACAGTGATTGCAGCAACAGGCTCATGTGTATCAGAGAGGAAGAGGATGGCACAGGACCAGAGAAGGTTCACTATAAGTCACACTTATTCACACTGACAATAACAAAACATATCCTGCTTTGGTGAGTACAGTCAAGGGTCTTAAAAGTCTGTAAGCAGTCATATAAGATGTAGGTCCAACGTTATTAGATGTTGTCAACTCCAAATCACATCAAAATCTCACCCTATCCTGTGCCATCCTAACAATCTTTGGCATGCTCAAGCCCACTGTTTCAATCACTGTGTCAACCCATCTTACTGAGTCTTCACTCAATGTCAAATGCCTTTGCATAGTCAATAAAACATCTTTCTGGTATTCTCTGCTTTCAGGCATCAGCAATAACTCTTGCTATTCTTGGGAATCCATCTTGAATTTTTGGCCATTTTTGTCAATATGTTGCATCGGCATTTTTTAAAAAATAATTTTCAGCAAAATTTTACTTGCATTTGATATTACTGCTCAATAATTTTCATCATCTGTTGGATTACCCTTCCTGGGTATGGGAACAGATAATAGATCTCTTCCAGTCCATTGGCCAGGGAGCTGTCTTCCTCTTTATTGACATAGACAAGTGAATAGTCCAATGTTGAGTCTGTTTTCTGAAACATCTCAACTGGGTTTCTGTCAGTTCCTGGAATCTTATTTTTTTCTCAATGCCTTCAATGCACCTTTGACTTGCTCCCTCAGTACCACCTGTTTTTGATCATATGCTACTTTCTGTAACCAATTCTTTTTGGTGCAGTGGCTCTGTATTCTTTCCATCTTCTTTTGATACTTGCGGCATCATTCAGTATTTTGTTCATAGACTCCTTCAGTATTGCAAATTGAGGTTTGTGTTTGCTCTTCACTTCTCTCAGTTCAAGAAATGCCTAATCTATTCTTTCCTTTTGGTTTTCTAACTCAGGTCTTTGCACAGATTATATAGTTTACATAAACCATAACCACTTCATCTTCCTAAGAAAAGAACTAAATGGTGCCAGACTCCCATTACTATTTTAATTAGGGTCACAATAGATGGACTCTGCTAAAATGGGAGGGAGAAAAGTATAAATTAGAACATGAAACTTCTAAAGCAAACAGACAACGGAGACCTACTAGGCTGAGACCAGAGCCCGACTAACATGATTGCCCCTAAATCCTCTCAAACTTTAACTGAAAACTAACCCAAGGTTACCTTGTAAATGCTTAACAAACTGGCTCAAAGGATAATGAGTATCACCTATAAGTACTGTACTTCTTTTGAAAAATCACCCATGATAGCAAACAGTCAACAATTACTTTAAAACAAAAGGAGAATATAATGGGGCAAGGGAACTAGATGCTTGGAAAAGGGAAAACCAGAACAGAAATACTAAGAATATTCAAGCACTGTAACGTAAATGATATTATTGAACAACTTGTGTAGAAACTGTTAAATGGGAATCTAAATTACTAACAAATCTTCACTGAAAAACGAACAACATTATTTAAATAAACAAGAAAACAGCAACAAAAAAGGAATATACCTCTTGGCTGGGAACATTTTCCGTTTTATCATCTGGAAACATGGATGTCTTATTTTCACTTATAAAAGATGCCAGGCGATGACGTACTTGTTTCATGGTTTGACTGAGCTGCCAAGAAAAAGGGGGAAAAGCAAACAAAGACAGGCTAAAGTCTTAATACCAAATATACTAAGTGTTCCAACAGGGAAAAAAGGCCCTATTATTTAAAAAAAAAAAAGAAAGCCAGACTTAAGACAAGAGGATTACTTTCAAAGAAGTCTTCTGTCTGCTGACGGCATCTTTACAACATTATTTTCATTATTCTGAGAGACCATATTTCCTAACTTGATTTAAAAGCTGTTGCTCAAATTGGTGTAGGGTTTTGTTGTGTTTGGGGTTTTTTTATGACAGATGTTTTATATTCACTATATACAAAAAGGAGGGAGAGGTCCTTGGAGATGGACATCATGCTTGGGAGGGTGGAGTGACGGCACAGAAGGGGGGGAAGACCCTCTATGAGGTGGATTGATTCAGTGACTGGGGTAATCGGGATGGGTGTGTCAGGGGCAGTGCGATTGGCACAGGATAGAGCAGGGTTTAGGGCTGTTGTATATAGGGTCGCTATGAGTAGCAAGCGACTCGATGGCAACACAACAACAACAACATATACAAAAAGCAGAATCTAAAAAGTTTTCATTAATATACTTGTAGGAGACACCTCCTAACATTCACCTTTAATAAGAAATAAATTAAATAAACAAACAAAAAATTCATCTTTTTTTAGAAGGTATTTCAACTGGTTTTTGTAAACCTAAAGAGTCCTGGTGGCACAGAGAGCTATATGTTGCACAGCTAAACTGAAACGTCGGTGGTTTGACTCTACCAGCTGAAAGATGAGCATTCTCCACCCTGAAAACCCTGTAAAAGCATCGCCATAGGTCAGGATCATCTTAGTGGCAGTGGGGAGGAGGGTGCTGTATACCTAACTGTTCCCAAACATCACTAGGACCCTATTCTTAGTGCATCCCTAAAACTCACTTTTCCTTATTTATATCAATTCATTCTTTATTGAATAAAATTTTTCTTTTATACTGATTTACTTACAAAGTTCATAGACATTGTTTTTCACACCAGATCTTTCCCCTTTCCTTTATCCACTCCTCCCCTCCACTCATCAAACTGTGCAGTCCTATGATTAAGTGCCACTCCCATCTTCACCCTTCTGCTCCCCTCCCCACCTGAGATCCTCGTACTCGTTCTACAATAATGGTCTTATACAGTATTTGTCCTTATGGAACTAAGTTAGTTCACTTACCATAATGCTCTCCAGTCCCTCCCAAATTAGGCAGCAATTTACAAAATTACTCAGCTCCTGCGTGCTGTGTAGTATTACATTGTATGGATGTACCATAATTTCATAATCCATTCTATTGTGGTTGGACATTTAGACTGTTTCCATGTTCTTGCTATGGTAAATAATGCTGCTATGAACACTGGTATACAAGTTTCTGTTTGTGCCTTTGTTCTTATTCTCAGAGTATATTCCACACAGTGGAATAGCTGGGTCATATTAATTTCTATGTTCAGCTTTCACAGGAAATGCCAAACTGCCTTCCAGAATGATTGTACCATTTTACAATCCTACCAACAATGTCTAAGAGGTCTTATCTCGCCACATCCTCTCCAACATTTACTTACTGCCCTGCTAACCTTTGCCACTGCTACTCGAATAAGATGGTATTTCATACATCAATTCATTCTTGACCTCCAACATTTGACAACAACAGCTATTTAAAGTCTTACTCAAACCTAAAGAAACCAGAACTGCCACCCAAGCAGATATATGCACACCTATGTTTATTGCTGCTTTGTTCACAAAAGCAAAGAGTTGGAAACAATCCGAACGTCCGTCAACAAACAAAAGGATAGGGAAGCTGTGGTATATTCACACAATGGAATATTATGTAGCACTGAAAAAACAAGGAACTCATGAAGTATTATACAAAATGGGTGACCACGGAGGACATTATGCTGAGTAAAATATCTCAGTCACAAAAAGACAAATACTGTGTAATGCCACTGTTATAAAACTGGACTGATATGGCGGTTGGAGTAAAACCAAGAAGAGAGGGGATAAATAATGCACATGGCATTGAAATATACAAAGGAGAGAACTGCATAAAAGGAATATATGATTAGGTATTATTGGCATGACAAGAATCCAGAATAAGAGATGCATAGTAAAGGGGACTGGTGTGTGTGTATCTGTATAACAATGAAAGAATTTTTTTCCAAACAATTTCCAAAGAAAAAAGGAAGAAAATGTGCAACAATCAATGACTGGAAATCCAAGTTCTCTATAAACTTTCATTAAAATCTCAAGAAATAAAAACAAAAAAGTCTTATTCAAATCTTCCTACAGGAAGTCTTTTAAATTAATATAAAGCATAAGCTCAAACATCTTAGTATAATCAATTCACCTGCTGGTGGCCTAATGAGTAAGGGGTTGCGCAGCCAATCAAAAGGCATGTGGTTCAAATCCACCTGCTGCTCTGTGAAAGAAATATAGATGATCTTTTCTTTTATGATTTCCTGTCTCTAAAATCCTGTTGGAAGTTTCTGCTTAATGGCATATAATAAATATAATACGTAACATGATAAATGAACATTCATATTAAATATACTGATGTTATGGTCATTCCTACATCTAACTAGTAATCTCAACAAATTCCGATTTTGATTAACCGAAACACAAGTATATTATATCTCACATATCTGCATATAAGGTATCTTCAGGAAAAAGAAAGAAGTGAGATATGTATCATTGTTTAGGTTAACCACGGCATCATATGGCAGAAACATTTCTTCACTCTACTCAATACAACAAATTACAGTAAAGCTAGCTTTAGCTATAAATTATTTAAAAGCTAATGATATCATTTCTCCCTTGAGCTTAAGAAATGCTCAGTTCGGACCTTTTGATTGTCTGACTCCAGTTCCTTGCATATTTCATTGAAATATTTTACTTTGTCTTCCCACCCTGCCTTTTGAAATCTTCTGTTCAGCTCTTTAGTATCTTGAATTCTTTCCTGTGCTTTGGGCATCTCAGTGCTCCAGTGCAATATTCAGAGTCTCTTCTGACAACCATTTTGTTCTTTTCTTCCTTCTCTGTCTTTGTAATGACCTTTTGTACTCTTCCTGGATGATACTCTTGATATCCTCCTACACCTCATCTGGCTTTCACTCACCGGTGTTCAAGGCCTCAAACCTGTTCTTGAGATGTTTCTGAAACACAATACTGGTAAGAGATTTAAGACACCACTCTCACAAAAGTATAGATCAACTCAAAAGAAACTTAATAAAAATGCATAAGATCTAAACTATACAATCAGCTGACTCAAACTGGTGGATGTACACAGGGTACTTCAGCCAACTACTAAAAGTCAATTTATTTTCTTCTCAAATGTACAATACTACATTCTCCAGAAAGTATCCTCTATTAGGACACAAAGTAAGCCTTAAGAAATTAAACACTGAAACGATAAAAAGTATCTTTTCAGACCACTGTTGGGGACCACTTATTTTAATTCTCTGGGGAAATGATGCCTGGAAGAAAGGAGTAAATAAAAACACAAGAGACAAACAGCTTACTGAAATAAAGCAGGACAGAAACCGCCAGGAGACCGGCCCTGGGCAGTATACCTTTTAGAAACAAAGAGATGGTTCACAGAGAAATAGAAACTTTGAAGGTTACATTATAGAGCCATGCTGGCTGGATACAGGAACAAAGTAGAAACATTAAGATTTATCTTACAGGGCCCTAAAAGGCCGAGATCTGAGTTCCCAGAAATTAAGACAAAAGGCTTTTGACAAATAAGCAAGAAAAAATGAACAACATATTGTGCACAATCTCCTTCTGATTAGAACTTGTTACAATTAATATAACTGCAACTGCCGAGAACAAAGGAATATTCATGTATCGGGAAGAGTTACTTTTCTTGAGCTCTTTTGCAAGACTCTAGTCTCTTTTTTGTTTGCAGAACTTAGAGAACAAGTTTCTTCCCACACTCTATCCTCAGACCGGTCTTTTGGATAGGTGTCTGGAGTACATCTGTGTGCAGACTGTTCTCCTGAGATGGCTACGCTCCGGCTCCATCGGACCACAGTGCCACAAATCTAGAAATTAAGGATAAGGAAGTAAAGCTTATAAAACCACCCACGTGGAAAATAATGGACACATGGAACTTTTGTGCATTCAATGATTTATTCATAGCAAATACTTTATTTAAAAACACAAACGGCAACATCACAAAATGGACCTCACCTGATGGATTGCAAAGGAATCAGATTGACTCTACTTGTGGAAAGAAGTGTTGGCGAAGTGCAATATCTAAAGTCAAAACTAGACAAGGTTCCAGTTGTGGGACAGACTATCAGGGACTCATGTGCAAGTTTAAGTTGAACAAAATTAAATCTAGTCTGCAGGAACTAAAATACAACCTTGAGTCTATCCCAGTTGAATTTAAAAATACACAGGTTCCAGGTACTGCACACCAATCAAAGACCCTAGGAACTATGGAAGGACATCAAAGACATCATTCATGAAAAGAGCAAAAGGCCATTACAAAGAAGGAGGGGAAATAAAACCAAAATGGATGTCAGGAGAGACTGAAAATGGCATTAAAGTGTTGAGATGTTTAAAAAAACAACAAAACAAAACAGGAGGTGCCAAAGAAAAAGAGCTGAAGATAAGATTTCATAGGACAGCCCATATTATAACGAAATGTACATAGAACTGGTAGCAGAAAAGAAAAAGGAAGAAGAATTCACTTGGCATTCCTCAAACTGAAAGAACTTAGAAGCAACCAGAAACATTAGCAAAGTTCAACAGGACAATAAACAACATATGCTGGGAAAGTTGTGTAGCGATTAGAATTCTTATTCACTGCTAGTGGGAATATAACATGGTACAACTACCATTGAAAGCAGTCTGGCACATTCTCAAAATGTTGGAAATAGAAACGACATTTAATCCAGCAATTCCATAACTGGGAATATGCTCTAAAGAAACTAGAGCCACAGCTTAAAGAGATGTATGCAAATGCATGTTTATTGCTGCATTATTCACA